CAGGGTTACACGTATTTGCTTACGTGTATTGATCGTTACACACGCTGGCCGGAAGCTATTCCAATAAGTGATATAACAGCAGAAACTGTGGCTAAAGCTTTTGTTTCTGGATGGGTAGCACGATTTGGAGTCCCATCAACTGTGACTACAGATAGAGGAAGGCAATTCGAGTCACAATTATGGAAGGAACTTAGTAAGCTTCTGGGCACCCAACACGTCCGCACAACAGCATATCATCCCAAATGGGATCATCGAACGGTTCCATCGTCAACTCAAAAGCTCTCTCAAAGCCAAAGTAAGTGTTGCAAACTGGGTAGATGCTCTGCCCTTAATCCTGCTGGGACTGAGAAGTGCTTTTAAAGATGACCTCCAAGCTTGCACATCTGAACTAGTGTATGGAACTAACTTGTGTTTACCTGGAGAATTATTCAACTCCGACGCAAATGATTCAGATGTACCGACTTCACAGTTTGTCAGCAAACTCAAGAGCTGCATGCAGTCACGCAAAGCAACGCCTACCAAACATCGCTCTCGTCCAACCTACATTCACAAAGCATTGGATACATGCACACATGTCTTTGTTAGGCAGGACCATGTAYGAAAGCCACTGGAGCAACCTTACAGGGGTCCGTACAAGATACTGCAGCGTTACCCCAAGTGTTTCAAGCTTGATCTTGACGAACGTCAAGACACAGTTTCCTTAGATTGTCTCAAACCAGCATTTATTGAGAATCCCGCTGACAGTGAAGTGCAAAGCAACCAAGAGACTTCCGGAAAGTCTGTAAAGCAAACCGCAGCAAAACCAAAGCCACMGCAAGTAGCCAAGGATCTTCAATCCACTCCAGTACCTTACCAAACARGAAGTGGGAGATCAATCAAGGCACCAGAACGTTACAAGTTGTAACTAGAGGGGGGGTACTGTTACGGCTCGGGATTCCTGTGTCATTAGGCCCGCAAGGGCTTCTTGGGAAAAACTATCGTTGTCATGTTTTGACTCTTGTTATGCTCAATAAAAG